GTTTTTTTCTCCATCAATTGAGATGATCATGTGGTTTTTTTCCCCCTTCATTCTATTAATGTGGTGTATTACATTGATTGGTTTTCATATGTTGAACCATTCTTACGTTCCAGGAATAAATCCCACTTGGTCATGGTGTATAATCCTTTTAATGAGCTGTTGAATTGTTTGCTAATATTTTGTTGCAGATTTTTGCATCAATATTCATTAGGAACATTGGTCTGCAGTTTTCTCGTAATGTCTTTGTCTGGTTTTAACGTCAGGGCAATGCTGCTCTCTCCCTTCACCGTTTGAGTCTCAGCTTCTTCGTCTGTAATATTGGGACTATAATAGAGCTCCCTGGACAGAGCTATTGTGCAGATTAAATGAGGGAGTGAACGCAATGTGCTTTGGCAGGGCCCAGTTCACGGAAGCTCTCAAAATATGTTAGCTGCTAATAATGATAAAAACAAAACAACAGTTTATCTCATAGTGAGACAGCTCGGCGGGGTGGAGCTTATACACTCAGCCTGTATTAGCAGCAGGGCTCCTGACCAACAAGAGTGTTCTGAAATTGTCAGAATGTGGGAGGGAGCTGTATAACCAGGCAGTCCTCAGGAACGCTCCCTTGGCCTGATGTGGGGCAGAGGCTTGTCCCATTTTGTGCTGTTATCCAAAACCTCTTGCTTTGATTATTGCTTTTCCTTTCTTTCTTTCTTTCTTTTCTTCTTATTAAGAGACACAGTGTCTCATTCTGTCATCCAGGCTGGGGTGCAGTGGCCCAATCATAGCTCACCATGACCTCGAATTCCTGGCATCAATTGATCCTCCTCCCTCAGCCTCCTGAGCAGCTGGGACTACAGGTGTGTGCCACCACTCCCAGCTAATTTTTTTACTATTTTGTAGAGACAGGATCTCACTGTATTGCCCAGGCTGGTCTCAAACTCCTGGCCTCAAGCAATTCTCCCGCCTCGGCCTCCCAAAGTGCTGGGATTACAGGTGTGAGCTGCTAAACTTGGCCATCGCTCTGATTTCTTAGTCACAGGGTGACAGCTTTTGAGGAGCTGAAAGGGATGGGACTTGGGAAGAGAAAAAACAAAATGCAACGTGTAGAATTTATCTTTTTGGTGGGTTATCAAGGGTTCATAGAGCACAAAGAAATGTGATCAGTAGGAATAGAGATGAAGATGACGTAGGTAGCATTTCCCAAAGAGCTGATGTGTTTTAATATTTGTTTAATAGACTTTATTTTTTAAAACGGTTTTAGCTTTATGGAAAAGGGAGCAGACAGTACAGAGAGTTCCCATATATCCCACCCCTTCCACCCACCACACACACATGCACGCACACACACACACACACACACACACACACAGAGATTCACCTGTTACTAACATCATGCATTACCATGGTATATTTGTTACAATTGATGAATCGATATTAATATATTATTATTAACTAAAGCCTATAGTTTACATTAGGATTTACTCTTGTATTATAAAGTTCTACGGTTTTGACATAGACATGTTGTGTATTCACCACTATAGCATCATACAGAATCGCTTTCCTGCCCTAAAAATCCTGTACTCCACCTGTTCATCTCTCCCCATCTCCTCCTGACCCCCTGGCTACAAATCTTTCTTTAGTTTTATATCTTTGTCAAAATTTCATATAGTTGGAATCACACAATGTGTAGCCCTTTTATATTAGCTTTTTTTCCCCACTAAACAATATGCATTTAAGGTTCCTCCGTCTTTTTGTGGCTTGATAGCTCATTTATTTTTATCATTGACTAACATTTCATTGTATGGGTGTACCACAGTTTGTTCATTCATTCACTTTTTGAAGGGCGTCTTGATTGCTTCCAGTTTGGGGTCATTATGAATAAAGATGCTATAAACATGTATCCAGAATAAATGAGTTTTAAAACTCAACAATAAGAAAACCACCCAAATTAAAAATGGACAAACGATCTGAATAGATATCTCACCAAAGAAGATGTACAGATGGCAATAAGCACATGAAAAGATGCTAAACGTCATACCTCACTAGGGAATTACAAATAGAGCATGGAATATCTCTCCATTTATTTTCTTCTTTAGTCTGTTGATGTGATGGATTATATTAATCGATTTTGAAGGTCAAACCAGTCTTGAATAGCTAGAATAAATCCCAGGTATTGTGGTATATAATTCCTTTTATGCATTGTTGGATTCTATTTGCTAATATTTTGTTGAAGATTTTGCATCTATATTTATGAGAGATACTGGTTTATAGTTTTCCTTTCTTGTAATGTCTTTATCCGACTTGGGTATTAGGGTGATATTGGCCTCGTAGAATGAGTTAGAAGTGTTCCCTCTGCTTCTGTTTTCTGGAAGAGATTGCAGGGAGCTGATACCATTTCTTCCTTAAATGTTGATAGAATTTACCCAGTGAATCTATCTGGGCCTAGTGCTTTCTGGTTTGGAAGATTATTAATTATTGATTCAAATTGTTTGGTAGATAAGGGCCCATTCAGATAATCTATTTCTCTTGTGTGAGTTTTGGTAGATTGTGTCTTTCAAGCAATTGGTACCTTTCATCCAAGTTATCAAATTTGTAGACAAAGAGTTATTCATAACATTCCTTTAATGTCCATAGGATCAGTAGTGATGGCCTCTCTTTCATGTCTGATTTTAATAATTTGTGCCTTTTTCTTTCTTTCTTTCTTTCTTTCTTTCTTTCTTTCTTTTCTTTTCTTTCTTTTCTTTCTTTCTTTCTTTCTTTTATTGGTTAGCCTGCTAGAGATTTGTTAATTTTATGGACTTTTCCAAAGAACCAACTTTTGGTTTCTTTGATTTCCTCTTCTGTTTTCCTATTTTCAATTTCATTCATTTCTGCTAATTATTATTTCTGTTCTGCTTGTGCTAGGCTCATGCTGTTCTTCTCTCTCTAGTTTCCTAAGGTTTGGTTGTTGATTTTAGATCTTTCTTCTTTTCTTACATATGCATTCAATGCTATAAATTTCCCTTTAAGCCCTGCTTTTACTGCGTCCCACCAATTTTAAGTCGTATTTTCATTTTCTTAAGATAATTCTTGATTTCTCTTGAGACTTCTTCCTTGACTCATGTGTTATTTTGAAGTATATTGTTTAACTCCAAATATTTTGGAATTTTCCAGCTATCCTTCTGTAACTAATTTCTGGTTTAATTCCACTGTAGTCTGAGAGCATACTTTGCATGATTTCTATTCTTTTAAATTCATTGAGAGGTGTTTCATGGCCCAGAATGTGGTATATCTTGGTGAGTGTTCCATATGGGCTTGAGGGAATGTGTATTTTGCTGTTGGGAGAAATATTCTATAAATGGCAATTAGATCCCATTGACTGATGGTGCTGTTCAGTTCATCCGTGTCTTTCCTAATTTTCTGCCTGCTGGGTCTGTTACTGACCCAGGGGTGTTGAAGCCTCAGCTATCACAGTGGACCTGTCTATTTGTCCTTGCAGCTCTATCAGTTTTCGCCTTGTGTATTTCGGCGGTCTGTTGTTAGTTGCACTAAGGATTGTTAGGTCTTCTTGGAGAATTGACCCCTTCGTCATTATTTAATGCCTATCATTATCCCTGTTCTCTGAAGTCTGCTTTGTCTGTAATTAACAAAGCTACTCCAGCTTTTTTTGTGTTTTCATATTTTGGATGCCAAAGCACTTGGTGGGAACTTGAAAAGTGGTTAAGAGCACAGACATTTGCATCAGGCAAACCTGGGTACAAGCCAGCCTTGTCAACTGGTGACTTTGGGGAAATTCAATCCTTCTGTGCCTCAGTTTCTGCATCTACAAAATGGGGAACCTTTCTCTGGATTGTTGTGAAGAAGAAATGGGACAATGCAATAAATCACTTAGGAAATTTTAATGTTTGATTAATATATTACTACTCTATTATATAATGCCTATTAAAATATTCCATTATTAATATAAGCTATTGGTTATTGTCATATTATGGGACTTTAGATGTCTAAGTGCAAGTACTTCTGTATGGAAGCTAGATGGAGCACTCTGAGAAGATAAACTTAGGAAATAGTTGCAGAGTCTGAGGCTAGTGGGTGTCTGGTAGCCCACGCCCCTAGAAGACAAAGACTTCGATGTGCCCTGCAGCTTGCAGTCGGAACATTTCCACTCATCTGTCCGGGGCCCTGCGGCCAGGGAAATGTGGCGTTACTTCCTTTTTTTTTTTTTTGAGACAGAGTCTCACTCTGTTGCCCCGGCTAGAGTGCCGTGGCATCAGCCTAGCTCACAGCAACCTCACACTCCTGGGCTCAAGTGATCCTTCTGCCTCAGCCTCCCGAGTAGCTGGGACTACAGGCATGCGCCACTATGCCTGGCTAATTTTTTCTATATATTTTTAGTTGTCCGATTAATTTCTTTCTATTTTTAGTAGAGACGGGGTCTCGCTCTTGCTCAGGCTGGTTTCAAACTCCTGAGCTCAAACAATCCACCTGCCTCGGCCTCCCAGAGTGCTAGGATTACAGGCGTGAGCCACCATGCCCGGCCAAAACACGTTATTTTAAAAATGAATAGAACAAACAAATGAATTACAATAACTCCTTAACTATACATACCCTATTCCATGAACTTGTCACTTGTTGCCTGGCCTTTGTGGTTTGTGTTTGGGGACATTTCTGCTTCCTGTCCTGCCATTGAGTGACACCATGTGGGGTCAGGGAAATAGAAATCGGCCAATTCCCTGGCTAAATGCCCAATAAGATCCCCCAAGTTCTCTTTGCCATTGTGTTGCCTGATTCTCCACCCAACACCTTGGGTACCTGTCCCCACATCTGGAGTCAGACAGAGCACATATCCTGGCTCCTTCATGCAGTAGCTGTGTAGCCTTGGGCAAGTCACTTAACCTCTCTGATCCCTCAGCATCTTCCTTTTAAAAATGAGGATTGTGGTGACGTCAGCTTGGTGACATCTAGCACATTCTGGCACCCAGTGGGCACTAGTTAACTTGTTTTATGGCTACAGCTTCCCTCCTCCTCTATTTCAGTCCGTTGACATCGACAACCACCACGCGCTCATTGAGTATAATGAGGCCGAGTGCAGCTTTGTTCTCCAGGACTTCAATTCCCGCAACGGCACGTTTGTCAACGAATGCCACATTCAGAATGTGGCCGTGAAGCTTATACCTGGAGACATCCTGAGGTTTGGCTCTGCAGGGCTGACCTACGAACTGGTCATCGAAAACCCACCCCAGGTGAGTCCGGCCCACTGCGGGATAAAGGAGTGGTGTCGCCTTCTGTGCAGCTCGGGGCTCAAATACACCAGAGCGGTGTGGCTGTGATTTCGCGCTGTGCACACGAGTGGCAGCCGCACGGCTCAGCCCTGGAAGTTCTGAGCATCCGGGCGGGTCCCGGGGAGGAGGATCTTGGCGCCCTCTCCTGGGCGTTTCGTGGAGTTACATGCAGGAGTTGCGCAGTGGCCGACACCTGAAACCGTGCACCTTCCTGAGAGGAGGGGCACGCAGGCGTGTGCCAGAGAGGGACAGGGATGGATGCTTCCTAGCCCAGACCTGGGCCAGGGTTCTTTGCACATCTGGGTCTCTACCTTCTCGATGGTGCGCGGCACTGAGAGAATGTCTGCAAAGCCTGAAACTCAGGGTCCGAGTAGACGCTCAACACACCATAGCCTGAAAATCCGCATCTGTGAAGCTTGGGCCTGTCTCCCTAACGTGTCTGATTGCAAGAATCTGGGAGGAATGTTCAGTAAAATTACAGGTTCCCAGGCCCCCTCCCCAGGTAATTCTGAGTTGGTGCCTTGCCAGCGGGGGAGGAGGAGGACACACAACGAATATCTGTATTTTTCTTTTTTTCATACAAAGATATTTATGGAAGTATTTTTATAGTGGCATAAAATCTGAAACCTAAGTCCCTATCAAAAGAGACATTGTTTAATAAAATATGCGGGTTCACTCTTATCTGGAACACTGCACCGCTTTTTAAAAACACAGCTTTATTGAGGTATAACTGACATATAATAAAACCACATATGTTTAAAGTACGTAGTCTGATAGATTTGGCCGTGTGAATGCGCCCATAAAACCATCACTACAACCAAGATGGCGGGCATATCCTTCACACCCACGAGTCTTCCTCATGAATGTGACATTTGTTTGCTTGCTTGCTAACAGCTTTATTGACGTACAATTTACATAACATAAACTTCACCCATTTTAAGTGTACGAGTCCATCAATTTTGCAGAGTTGTGCAACCATCACCGTAACCTACTTTCGGAGCATGTCCATCACCCCACCCCCAAAAGAAACCTCTGAGGTACTTCCATTGTTTGTTTTCAATTTTTTATTGTTTATTTTTTATTTTTTGAGACAGTCTCACTCTGTCAACCCAGCTAGAGTGCAGTGGCATGATTATAGCTCACGGCAACCTTAAGCTCCTGGGCTCAAGCCATCCTCCTGCCTCAGCCTCCCCAGTAGCTGGGCCTACAGGCACGCACCACCACGCCTGGCTGATCTTTCTATTTTTAGTAGAGACGGGGTCTCGCTCTTGCTCAGGCTGATCTCAAACTTCAGACCTCAAGCAATCCTCCCACCTCGGCCTCCCAGAGTGCTGGGATTACAGGTGTGAGCCACCGTACTTGGCGTTTTTTACTTATTAGATTGTGCTCAAATATACATAACATAAAGTTTATCATCTTTCCCATTTTTAAGTGTACAGTTCAGTGGCTTTAAGTGCATTCACGTTGTTGTGCAGCCGCCACCATTATCCATCCACAGAACTCTTTTCAGTTTGCAAAACTGAAACTCTGTACCCCTTAGACAAGGACTCCCTGTTCCTTCCTCAACCCAGCAGCCCCTAACAACTACCATTCCACTTTCTGCCTCTGAATTTGACTGTGCTAGGTACTTTGTATAAGTGCAATCATGCAGTATTTGTCCTGTTGTGACTGGTTTGTTTCACTTAGCACAATGTCCTCAGGGTTCATCCATGTTGTAGCGTGTGTCAGAGTTCCCTTCCTTTTTAAGGCTGGATAGATAATATTCCATTGTATGGGCAGAGCACGTTTTGTTATCTGTTCATCCATTGACGGACACTTGGGTTGCTTCCTCCTTGTGGCTATTGGGACTAAAGCAGCTGTAAACTTAAGGGTACAAATGTGAGGAGGGCACTTGGTTTTAATCACACAAGTATGGCAAACAGTGGTAAAGATCTCCACCTCTGGCTACCAAAGGAGCAAGAAGACACTGTAAGACAACGAAACCAGTAGAGTTGTTACAATGGGATCGTGATGTTAGCAGGAAGAACCACTAACAAGCAAATTACCTGCTTTCCCTTATATAATGTTACAACAGCCCAGGACAGTGCTCTCTCATGATCCCTGTTTTACAGACAAGGAACCTAAAACTCAGAGGGGTTAAGTAACTTACCCTGCGTCACACAGCTGGTCAGTGCCAATTAAACTCCGTCTCTACTTGCAGATAACAGCAGGGAGAAAATCATTTAGTCCGATGCTAGCTAGAGCAGTCTCATCAACCGGTTTTCAAATATAGCAAAACAAACTTTTACAGTCACTTGGCTGTACCTGAATTTTTTTAAAATTCTGATTTCTGCATGCAGTTGCATGTGCTTCATTGGCTGAGGGACTCCCCTGGCCAGTGCCCCGGGCACTTCTCAGCAGCCTGAGCCTGTCTCTTCCGGGCTTTCCTCAGGAGACCCCCATCCCTGCACCCCCCTCACGGAAGTGCTCTCAGCTCCCTCTCAGAATTCCCTGTGGGCGTCCTCTAAGCTCCCGTTGAGGAAGGGAAGGAGTCCTTTGCAGGCCCAGAGCGAGGACAGCCGTGTAGACAGTTACACGCATTCCTATGGATTTGCTTTCCATTTGCCTCATGAACTCTATCTGTGGACCATTAAAAAAAAACAAAAAAAAAAGAAGGTATTGAAGAGCATCTCTTATCAAATCTTGTCTCATTTGGGGCCCCATTTTTCTAAGAATTCTGTGGCCATCTTGATTCCTGCCTGCTCTTGCTTCTGATTGATTTTCAGGTCCCTGGAGAGAGCTATGTTTTCCCTGGGGTAGAGTTTGCAAGGACTCTTCCCTTTGGGGGAGGATGGTCCTAACAGCCTGAGAGTTAACTGTTCATTCCCCAGCGAAGAGTTTGTAGATGGACACATTTATTTCGGGCTCTGTGGTGGCCATGACAGAAAGGGGCGTGACAGCCGTTTTATGAGAAGGTGGGGAGCGGGTGCAGCAGCGAGGGCCTAGTGTGCTTGCAGGCGTCACAGGGGCTCGTCTGGCCTCCTGAAGTTCAAGTCAGGCTGTCCGATGCGGTTCCAGCCCTGCTCTCTCCCAGCCGTGGGCTCGTGCACAAGTTGCTTCGGCTCTCAGAGCCTCGGTTCCCATTTCTGTGAAATCGGGGCCATCATAGTTCCCACCGTGTGGCTGGCTGTGGCATCAGATGGGCACTGTATGTCAGTTGCTCCGCCAGCGCCTGGCACCCGCGATAGGCGGTGATCTCGCTCAGCTTTAGAGCCAAGCAGAGAGCACACGAGCAGCCACCTGCCGCCTCCGCGAGCACAGACAGGTCTCAGGACCCCCCAGTGACCAGGTGGACACCTTTGCAAATAAATTACCCACGGAATGACAAATAAGATGGAAAAACATAAAGAAAAATTCTTGGTCGACAAAGTACACTGGCACCCAGGGTATTCCCAGGAGTACGTGGTGTAAGTCATACTCTTTTGCCAAGGGCCACCCTTGTTGCCCAGCTCCGGGGTCGCCATCCGTGGCATAGTCCACACAGATGGTGCCCCCTGGAGTTGTACGGGACATAACTTGCAGGCCTATTTGCAGTGCCCTGAAGCAACCGCGAAGTAATTTCGTAGAGTCTCTGCCTAAGTGTCAGACATGTGATATCGAAGGCAGAAAGTCAGGCATACCTGCCATATTGTGCCTGCCATTATGATTTTTGTTGGTTGATTTTTTTTAGTGCTTTATGATCTCTGCGAACATAGGGTGTCCTGTTAACAGTGGCAGTGTTCTCATAAAGCAGCTGGGTAAGGAAACCTGCGTTAGCCTGCTCTGTCCTGCTCCCATTCCAGCCAGAGACTCCCATGTGACTTCTGGACATGGTCCTTTGTCCCTCTTGCAACCTCATGACATCCTGCGTGACATAAGGAGCTTCCTCTGTGAGCCCGTATGCCTTTCTGCTCACTGCTTTAACTCTGTGTGTCATATGATTTCTGTCTCCTCAGCTCTGCTGTTGGAATGCAGTGAAGAACACAAAGGCTTTGGACTAGGATAGATCCAAGTTCAGGTTCAAATTCCAACTGCAACTTACTTAACCTCTCTGAGCTTCAGTTTCCAATTTCTGCCAGGCGGGTACACATTAATCACAGGCTCCTTCTCCCCCTAGAGAATTTTTATGGAGGCCGTTGGGACCACCCCATCATTGTGTAAACTGATGCTCAAAGAGGTTCTGCGACTTTCCCAAGGGTACACATCAGTTTCCCAAGGTTCCACATCCCAGAACCAGAATTAAAGGCCAGTCCTGAGTTCTAGTCTAAAAGGCTTCTCCTAACAGCTCAGAGCACCCTGATGACTTGAGGAGGACCTAATGGAGGACAATATACCATGTGGGTAAAAACAAAAGCCACCCGTGAGGGCAGAAAATGCAATTTCAGTCATGAGCTTCCTCATTTACCTCCACGAACTTTTTACCAGGGATGTTGTTGCAGTTCCTGGACTAATCCAATTGCTTCCTTTTGGTTTCTTTTTTGATGACTGTGATTATAAATGCCTGGTGGCTAATGTTTAAATGAGCGTTTATTATGTGCCAGGAGGCATTCTAGGCACTTTATATATATTGTTCCATTTGGCTCTCACACAGTAAGAAGTAACTGTTATTATACCTATTTTTAAAGATGAGGCATAAAAAGGCATTTGTCAGGGTCACTTATGGTAAGAGGCAGAGCAGGGAGCTGGACCGATCCCTTCGAATGCCAGATCCCATGCTCTCAACCAGAGGTGGGCAAACCAGAGCCCAAGGGCCAAACCTAGACCATCACCCATTTTTGTAAATTAAAGTTTTATTGAAACACAGCCATGCACATTCATTTTGGTGTTGCCTGCGTTTGCTCTCCTGCTCCAACAGCAGAACTGTAGACAGAAATCATATGACACACCAAGCCAAAAATACCTACTGCCTGGCTTTCTATAGAAAAAGTTTACCAACCTCCACT